GCATATTTTTATCCCCAAGGGATCACGGCGAAAGGTTCATTAAATAAGTCAATCCATCGGCAACGACTGAGGTGTCAATCCCAAACGCTCATTAAACCTCGCTCACTAATCCTGAAGAGTGGCAGATTTATTACAGATGAGCAGTTTATGCTTGGATACGAAACACTTAAATTGATGGCTTGATTAGCGACGGCTAGTCAGTCAACCAAACAAAACGTGCAGTTGTTGTATGGTATTACTCTACCTTATTCACGTAGGAAAACCTGCATAGATGGAGAATAGTTGTTTTCCATTAAATTTCACGCCACCGTTTTCACCCTGAATTAACGTGCCACTGTGATGAAACAACAATAAGCCTGGGAGGAATCTTCATTGGAAACTTAAAAAAGGAGAACATTGGATTCCCTATAATCTAGTAGCGGATGTTTAGGTCCTCGCTTACTGTTTCATGCTTTCCACATGAAATATGGTCATTTAACTTTAGTGTCGTCGGTTTCTATATTCCCTGAAATGTTGTGCGCGGTCAAATGTTGAAAGTGGCTAAAGTGATGGTTTTAAGCGTAATCTAATGAAGAAAATCACGCGCGGTTGAATGGTGACTTACTGAACGACTAATTACCGAACGGAGAAAATCAGAAACTATCTTGGCTGCGGTTTTGGGGCAATGCTTATAAGAGAGAGTAGTTGTATTACTTTCTGTTTTTCTACAGCCCATTAACATAACACTTCACGCTGAGTCATTGCATTCGATTTATTCCAGCAGAATTTCCATTAGCTTGCTTTGAACGAAGATGGTCAATATCATCAAAGTAGACCGAAAACAACTTGTTGTTTAATAAACCAGGAATGATGCCTTCTCTGAGTTCACTTGATAACAAGTGGTGTCAAGGGACTCTCACCTTTTTCACTCACTTCGAATACCTGATGCGACTGAACAACCACAGAACCAAGGATATTCCGTCTGTGAAAGCTGTATCCATCCACACCAGACTCGTCAGCTGAGCAACCGGTATGGCACCAATCAGAAAACAAAACCGTACTTCATTGTCAGGTAGTTAATACAATGGTAATTTCCAGAAATCCTCACGTAGTGCACGTTCGAATGAACGTATGAGTTTGTGTAAAGATTACGACCAAAAGCATTTGAAAATCAACAGAAAGCCTGAGCCAAGCTAACCGCATCTGATACTATTGATACGGCAAAAATCCGTTCATTTATTTTGTTTTGACAGGCTGAATCTGTACCAAATTATCTCACACCAATTTGGCACAGTTTACTAATAAAGCAGACAGAGGAGTACAAACTGATTAAACCTTTTTGTTTATTTACGTCTGTGAGGAGCGCATAAACATGAGTGGGAAATTTTCAAATGAGCAGGTGGTTCTTGACATTCACATGGGTGTCGCGCCTAAGACGTCGCTGCCTCCTGAATTATTTCTTTCATTTTGCTCACTTCCTAGTTGTCTCAAACAAACACATCGTCAGAATTACTTAGAAGTTCCAAAATTAGCCAGGCAGAATATTTACTTAAATTCGTATTGTTTCCAATTTCACCATTAAAAGGAACTTTTTTAGGCAGCGGACCAGCTGAATAATGCATTACGTCTATGCAAAAATAACGACGTCTAGCTGTAATTAGCGAAGCAAATGGATATGCACTTTCCATCAACTGTTAACCAACAGGAGCCTAAGGAATCGGGAGTAAATAGGATACCAAAATTAGACACACGAATTACATGCACTTAAAATGTGCTTTCATTGATGGGTTTAGGAAACGAGCTACGGAACCCCATCTCCCACTCCAAATTTAGACACAAATGCATAAATAGCCCTAAATATCCGCCACTATTTTTGGGCTTCTACCAAACGACATATTTAAAACTGCCATTTCAAAGTCGACAACCAAACCCATAGCTCAAGCAGCTGAGATGAAAAAATGGACTTATTTTTGCATACAATGTGCACCCGTTTTTTGCTCTATTCCACTCGTGACAGTTAATGATTTAGAACTATACTCGTCACTTAACATTTAAGCACTTGTTAGTTCTGAGTAAACTAATCACATGTTTAATAATTTCAAAAATTTGTGTTCTGCGTAACCAGGAAAAAACTGTTTTACCTAGCGAAGCGAAAGCCCGCCAAAGAGAGATGTAGCAAAGGAAAAGGTATTTTTCTTACCGGTGAGGAGATTTTGGCTCAAACTTTCAGGTTTATCAATCCAATGAAGCAGTTTAATCACACCCCACAAAATCCTCAGTAGTTCTCCAATTAGTCTGTCGTGCCGGTAACTTCAGTTGATTTCGAGCGCTGAGATTTCATTTCTACCGCGTTATATCCACAAATGTATACCGACCGTTTTTTAGTCTGTTCTCAACAGTCTATGTTGACCACTTTCTTGTCCAGCTCACTAGTCTTTGGTATAATCCTACCGCAGTCCTATGGCATGAATTCTGAGGAGTATCATTGGGCCCCGAGCAGATGGTTACCAAAATGATTAACTTTCAATGTTACAGCTACTTTTAATTGCGGTCATGTAGAAAGCTACGTAGGTACAACTGATTGTTGTCTCAATGGTAGAAAGAATGAGCTGAAAACAAGCCAGAGATTTTTGCTTTGGAGAATGATCTTTAGAGTTTTCATGACCAAGGGTTTTCGAGTAGATTCGACCTCCGCGTTCACTGTCCTTCAGAAACCACATGCTCGCAGATTTGTAGGTGCCACTGCAATTAGTCGACTAAACCATTAATGTAAATTCAACAAAAATTCAACCGTATAACCTTAAGATTACATCAAAATTACCACGCATACCGCTTTTCATGGTCGACTGGTCGAACTATCGTCATCTAACCATTCCTTCTGTTTTGGAGAATATAAACATTTCATTGATGTTACAAAGGAGCCAAAACTAGATGTGTACACACCCGTTCCTGGCCTCTAATTGTGTTTTCCTGTGAGAATTGATACTTATGGTTGGATTTTCGCCACCGCCAACCTAGTGTAATCGTCATCGACAGACACACTTTTGTTTTTGTTTTAACAGTTAATTGAGACAAAAAAGAATAATTTCTCAGACCAATAAGCAAGTATGAACTAGAGCAAAACTTTGAAGTTGGTAAGGTGATATAAGTGGATATCAAGACTGAAACAACGAAATGTACTGAGACAACTCAAATAACCAAAGATCTAAGGAAACCTAAAATAGACTGATTAAAAAAGCATAAGACACTGGTTGCAAAGCCCTTGATCCATATCTGTCCTCATGTTCTAGGAACTCGTATATAGACACAGGCAAGATGTGAGTAACTTAGTTCCTTCATCCTTCGGTTTGAGGTCGAAGCCTATATGGCGAGCCGCCCTTTAAGATGAAGACTACTCTAATCTTGATTTCAGTGCTCGCAGTCAACACCTAGGCTGACTTATGCCAGTAAAAGTATGTTTGCTACGCTGGCTGTCATTTGGTGACACTGGCGTGAACATTCCTTTCACTGAATAGGGAGCAGTTCGGTTTTTATACCAATCTGGAATCATTTTTTTCTTACCAACCATTTTCTGCTGACTTCGTATGATTATTCTAACTGTCCAGTCACGTTCAATTGGTGGAAGCGCATACTTGAAGTTTATACTTCATCTTATGGAACTGATTCACAATGCACATTATGGAAGCAAAGATGATTCTATACATTGTAGTTGTAGTGGATAAAACTGTGTTATCGTCCCGTTTATGGGTATAGATTGACGTGACTCAGGAGTCTCCCTCACGACTTAACTTTAGAACAATCAGCTCCACCTAGCACCTTAGTATTCGAATTCTTATCCTTGAAAACGTCCTGAATTAGGGAGTACAGATACATTTCTCCCGAGAGTTGTGATGATGAAATTATACGTTTTATGTCAGCATATAGAAACACTTTGAAGATACTATATCGGAGGATAATTCACAACCCAAAAGGAGTTAGAAGAATATTCGGTCTTTGTTTTGGTAGGCTAAATTGTTCATCTTCCTGCAGGAAAAGGATGTCTATTGTGGGAAGCCTGTAGAATAACTAAAAGACTTCAAGACTTTCTGATTGTGGTAGTTTCTGTGCTATCCGTTTCAGTTGGCCATCCATTCTGTCTTCATCAGAGTTTCCTGCATGATCAAAATTAGCAATGTGCACCATCCAGACGTTAGACCACGTCTCTGTTTGGTAGTGTGGGGAATTTCGAACCTTAGTTTATCAAGTACAACGTTTGAACTCCAGGAAAGAAGCCAGGAATTAGAGTGCTCCACAGATCAGAATGCACGGTCAGTACAAAACTGCATTAGCTTTTCAGGTTCACCAAACATGCTTGTTCCACCCTGTAAAATTCCAAAAACTTGTAGCTTTAGTCGTTTTGGACCTCCATTTCCGCAGATTAGCACAATTGAAATTCAGGTTGCTCAAATATCCATGGATAGTAAGTTGGAAAATTGGCAGGATTTCTCTGCTTCGGCTGGAAACATTTGACTGTTACTCAACAAGCGACGGAGAACACAGCGCGCGTCAATTCGCCTTTAAAGTAAAAAACCCATTTTATGTGCAGCAGTGAGACCTTACTAAACAAGTAAATGTTCACATTTTCAGACCATTTAGTGTCTTCATTGGGGAATTTAAGTACTCTTGGGTATTCCATCTATTTCTCCAGACGTCGCCGTCGCAGTCCCCTGAAAACACTGGTATGAAGTTTAACCTGGTTGAAAGCATCGCATGACTTAGCTCTACTATGTGTCAGTTAATAACCAAGAGGCGCATGGTCCAAAACTAACCATAACCCACCTTCCTGCCTTCATTTACAGCTACTCCAGGAAAAATGATTGAAAACGACAGAAGTCAATAGCACTGCTTCATCAGACTTCCCATTCCACAGTTGTAAAGTGCCTTGCATTACTAGACTAACAATCTTTAATGAAACATTCCGAAAGCACGATCACACCGTGCCCTCAGCACAATGTGTTAAGTCACGCCAACTTCTGACTCACTTGTGTAGTTGCTCCTCGAGGACTTTCGAATTCAAGCAACTGTAAATTATCTGCTACAGTGACTGCTCCCTCTTCGCGCCACACAAACTTTAACTCATCCACCGTGTACCCATAGGAGCCCAAATTCATATGGCATTCTTGATGATCCATTGGATAATTTTTCAGGTACATTGAACAGGATAGAATCAGTGTGATTTTCTGACTGTACAACACACTCCCGTCAGGCGAGACCCGGATCAAAAAGTTGGGAACAGACATGTCATGTGTAAATCCTTTCTTGCCATTTCTAAAAAATAAATCCGGAAGCCACAAACGATGTTTTTGTCCCGTGAGTAATATGCTGTTTTGATGATGCTTCAGATGACTGTATGTTTCCCAAGCCAACCGTGGATCTGTCCATTGCTGACGTAGGTACAAATCGACAGTGTACTGCATTTGTACCACATTGATGGACGTAACGGCGAGAATATGAATGAAAACGTGTACATTAGTCGGGTCAGAAGACATTTCATTGGGTCGTTCATGACTCCTGTATGAAGGAAATATTGTTTTCATAATCTGCTCGGTAATAGAGGGTTTGAAACCCCACTTAGAGGTAGCATCCCCATCATCGGGGTTGGTTAGTCTAGTTGGGGTCGCAGAATCCCTTGTTGAACCGGAAGTGCGTCCAGAAGGTACTGGATATTGCAAGTGTCTTTGTAGCCAGTATTGCATGGGCACCACGGGAAACAAGTGGTTATTGTTCCTATTGGGGTCAGTTTGATAATGCGACATGACATAAGGTCCAGGTGGATTGAACTGTCTCAGTTTCAGAGGGCAGACCATATTCTGAAAAAGCACCGGATAACAGAAGAAGAGAGATAGGTACCACGTTCCCAGGCACCCAAGGGCCATGTATTGGAGTAAACCTTGTGTCACATTTCAGCGGCTTATCGAATCAGCGGTGCTGCGTCACAAACTTTATTGGGTTTGTGTGAAATAAAATGCAATGTGATGTTTTCTTTTTGTTTACCTCTCGGGATAAGATCATTGCAAGACAAATATATAGTTGAAATCTTAAGTCACCTCGGATATCGGTGAACGCCCGCCTGCATTAGGAACGTATTTGTTCACAAACACATGCAAACAGCCACACACTAACCCGCCAGTGGTGGTTTCTAGCTTTGCATTCGTTCTGCCCGCTCGATTTTGACTTACCTCATTCATGGGCTTGACAAACAGCCAATTAATTGGACACGACTCGCTCCAATCAGCGTTCATCATCGTTTCAGATTGCCTTTGGATTACTGCCCTCAGGTAGATGGAGCCGACCACGCGGTAACGACGCGCAACCAAAGTGGCCACGTGACGGTGGCCTGATGTAGACATGCACTTCGCGACACACGTACGGCACGGGTATTACGACATGCTACATGGCATGTGCGCGTGTGCAACGTGTTTGACACCAAAACTCCTGAGGTGTTCCCGAGACCGAAAAGATTTTTTTTCACTTTTTTTTCTGTCTTAAGCAAAGCCCTTGCATTTTTTGCGACTGTGTACCAAACCCGATAGAAAAGTTTGAAACACATCAGGTGGTGAACCCGGTGAGCAAATCGGGTGGATGACAAACTGGTTTAGCTTTCGTGGTGCGCAGCCATCTGCATGAGTCCTGCAAGATACAGGTTGGATATGTCTATGAACAGTTGTTGGTGGATTCCTCGTGGAGGAAAAATTACTTAACATAACCAGTTATTCAAGAATTTTTCAATAAGTTGCTAGCGAATGCACAATCACGGTTCGGAGCTGCCAGCAGAAAATGAAGCGGGCCATTAGCGGCCGTACTTGGCACAGCAATAACAGCACTGAGTAGGAGGATAACACTAAATAAATGGGTTTGTTATAGAAGTGCATCTGGCTTCTGTTCCCCAAATTTGGAGAGCAACATACTTTCCATCATTTGTAGTTTTCTAGGATGTTATTATTTTATGTTGATCCAGACGCTGGTTAGGCACTATTGGTCGGCCCGCAATTCGATCCTGAGGGAACGTGATTTTGATTTTGACCACGTCACTCCAGAAACCGGCGAATCACAGAGCCAGTCTAAGAAACCCCCTATTAAATGTTAATCAACGAGCAACTGGAATCCACTCGGATCTGCTCCAGAAAGCTGAATTTCACAGGGGAGTGCATCAATCGGCGATTCGCCTATCCACCGTCGTCAATTATCGTAGGTTTGTGAGCACAGGTAAGATGATTCGCTTGTTCCAAGTGAATCCAATTCCAGGTGCGCACCACTCATTGCGTGGTGTTTGTTGCTCAACAATATGTCTAGAATCAGCGACATGCCTCAAGCTTCTACAAATCAACTAAAGTTATAAGGCTTCATATCAAGCATGAAAGCGAAGGGTATGACACACCGTTCCAGCTAAACCTGGAGATGTGCCGATCTTCTGGCGATCTTCTGAATTCATCTCAGATTGAAGTAATGCACGCAAACATAACATGTTCGCCGTTCTCTGCTCAAATGAAAAAAAAAAACAAAATTTGCATCTTCCGTTTGACAAAACATTTACTGTTCCTGATGACTGGACTTAGCGACAACCTGTAACATTGCTGTAGGTAACTGACTTACCAGCTGTTTGACCAAATGAAAAAAAAAACAAAATTTGCATCTTCCGTTTGACAAAACATTTACTGTTCCTGATGACTGGACTTAGCGACAACCTGTAACATTGCTGTAGGTAACTGACTTACCAGCTGTTGACTTCTTTGGTTTTACGACAGAAAGAAACGGCAACGGTGAAAACAACACCCGAAAACCACAAAAAATTCTAGTTAAACAAAATTATCAGCCCTCAGTGACTTCATGGGCTGTTACATTGAAGCTCCGCGAATCAAGCCATTTTGTTCTCCAGAGCGTCGCATAACACATTGTCCACACCATTTCTGGTAACCTCTTTAAATTCACCATATTGAAAACCACTCGTGTTTGGCAACGTTTACTCAGTGACAGACCAAAATATTTATGGAACGGATAAGTGAACTTTTTCTGGGAGCCGTCATGTAGTTTGATAACTCGCCATCGTCACATCTTCCATTCTTAGTTGGGATTGTAGATTTTTCTCTACACTGTGGGACGTCCTGAAAACTAGTCAAATAATACACTTAGTATTATAAATGAGCTAGTTCAATATGATAAATATTTGTGTTTATCTTGTTTGCATATATTGTACCATACGGTACAAAGTTGCGTCAGGAGCGTTGTTAAGTAAGTGTCTTTTTTGGTTTACAGTCAAGTGGTTGTATGCGATATCACAATTCCACTAACATTCACGACGATATTCCTTCGGTATCCAAAGAGTAGATAGAACCCCGGTTTAGGATGCGCCTGAGACCAGCTTCTACTGAACATTTTGTGGGATTTGATCTCCATTTGGTGCTCCCAGAATTGTTCGATTTTTCTGGAGCTCTTGCACTGTTTAATGGCTATGTCAAATTCCGGTCATCATGGTTAGATATGAACAGTCAAGTTAGCTTTTTCCCCGATCTTAATTGTTGCAACCATGGTGAAGCGGAACTCAAAATTTCTAAATTGGGTGGCTGCTGTTTTAACCACTGTTCATTATCAGCACTCTCTACTATGAGTCCCGTCACTATAAGACGCCATCAAAACCAAAAACGGTCATCAGACGCTCAGTCTTCACAGTTCACTCACCGACCAGTTATGTTGTGCTTTTGTAACCGGTAACCACAAGCTTTACAGAATGTCACTTTAAATGACTTGGTCTCTGTCATCAGCAGTTGGATAATTAAGCACCTTCCTAAGCGCATGTGGTTCACATGCTTTCAGACAAACTTCACGTGGCGTTTGTTCCTCTTACTGAAGGGCTTTAGAAGAAATCGTGGATTTTTCAGTATTGCAGGTGGACGTTTCGGCTACCCAAGAACATGTGTGGTCGTGTCCTTTGATAATGAGGATTGTGACCTTGAGCATTACATCACGATGTGAACTTAACAAGTGATGCATTTGTCCGTTATCACGCCTTTGCCAGTGGTATGCCGTAAATGAGAAACGCCGAGATGGCCCATTTATTAACATCCTTAGAGTGCTCAATATGATGAGGAGTTCCATGCAGTGACATTTTGGCTTTTTCTCAATGATTGCCGTCCCTCAAAATTAACCCCTTGTTTTTTGTCAAAATTGAAGACCCGCATCTATTAACAAGCGAATATTCTGAAACCTCGGAGCGTTTTCAGACCAAAAATCAAATGGTGATATCTAGACCTAATAAGAAAGCAAAAATTGTCCTAATATACAGAAACAACTATATCAGTAGAATGAATAACTTTCCCGCGGACGATTCAAAATTTGAAAAAGTTGTTCCAACAAATATCCACAAGAATGAACAGGGTTCCTGGAAGAACTGCTTGTTATAAATGGCCACCGGAAACTATTTATGGTTAAGGTTAATCCTACCACCAGTGATATGCTTGCATCGAGCATCGTTTTGCACATTGTTGGTCACACGAAGAGGCGTACTTCCGAGTTCGATAACTGTTTCAGTGATAAAAGATATTTGAACGTCCTTGGCTGTAATGACAGGTTTATGTTATGTTAATAGCGCTCCCAGTTCTGCCGTTCACGTTTGACTATTTCAGTTAGTCAACACCGAACCGGGGAAGTACTGCACTCAAGCCCAGCCTTATTCAAGCAGATCAGTATTGCATACTCTAGACCGTGTCAGAAATTGAACTCCAACATGCACGCGAGCGCGCTACCACAAATTAAGAAAGAAAGCTGAATAAACATTTCAGAATTAGGGAAACTTTCAAACTCCAGCGAAGTAATTGGTTTACCGACACTTGACGGAAGATTGACGTCTCACGCAATTTGTGTCTGCTCTTTACTGAGCAGACTACTGCAAAATAGTAGAACCATATAAAGAAACAGAATTTCCACTGAACTATATTTTTCTGGTTGATCACCCGTCACTTTGAAAAGGTATATGCGGGTAATTTTGTGGCACATTTTTATCTTTGAAGGCTACTGACTCAGGTGGTCTGTCTGGAAATATTAGTTAAAAGCTACCATGCTTACCAACAGAGAGTAAATATATGGCGGATAACATATGACGGACTTGTTTAGGCAGTTGGTAAGGCATGGCACTCCAAGATAGGCCTGATCAATAAACACTGACAAAGCAGGTAAGGGTTACCGAGTTTGGCCCAACGGTTTGTTCTGGAAGACGAAATCAGAGTGAACAGATGGGTGGATATAATGACGAGTAAGTATATGGTTCTATATCACCGAATAGGAAATGACACAAAAGATAATGGTTAAATAAATGGTACTAAGTCAATGCAGTCAAGGCGGTGAATTTGTCTTGGCGGAGAAAACTACAGGAATAGGTGAAGTGGAGAAATTTTGATTTGTATTGATAAGTTCAGGCCAACTATGCTTCAGGACATAAATGACAATCGATAGGCTGTATTTTTTCGAAAAATGACATATTTTCATGAATTTTAACTGTGAAAATCTCCAAACCAAGCCAAATAGTGAAGTAAATTATGACCCTTTATTGGAAAATTCATCCTGTCAGTAAGGCTAATCTACACTGAAAAGCCAAAAAGAACTGTGCAGCTGTTTCATTCTTGTTTGGCATCATCATCAATGCACATTTAACGAAACTTCGAGAGTTTCCAACCCTTGACCTTCCAGTTAGTGGTTGAGCACGTGATCACTTGGCAAAGTACAGCTGAACCTGGCGCACAACTTGCGCTCCCGAGCAGAAGATAAGCAGCGGAAATTTTGTTCACTCCAAAGAAGTTTTCAATAGTCATCTTAACCCTGACATCCGCCCTACTACTGTGATTTGGGTGATGAATCATCACAATTATATCGTAATAAAATGAGTGCGGGTAACTAAGTAAAATCTGTCAACAGAACTTTATTGGAGGTGTGACCAGTGGTAAATGAAGAGAACTTACTTTGCACAAACCAATCTGCCCTTTAGTAAGATAAAATAAGCCAAGCGGCGTTAGAAATGTTAACGTAGTATTTAGTATAATAGATACATTGAAGAGAACTTGCACAAACCAATCTGCCCTTTAGTAAGATAAAATAAGCCAAGCGGC